CACGTCATTTCATTTATCGGCTATATCGTCTCTGCCTGTGTTTATCTCTTTCTATTGATGACGCTGGATGAAAAGGCTTAACTCCGGTGCTATCCTCTGACCCCTCCCCTTCCTCATTTTTGAGGAGGGAGGAAGAGTCGACTATGGCATCAGGTCGTCAGCGCGCATCATTTTGTACTTCTGCACCTTTAGAGCCCCGTGAGGAGTTAGAGGAGTTAGCAAGGTAAAAAAAACATCTTATGTTGGGGGGGAAAAGCTCGAAATGGAGCTTGTTTCAAAGTCGAGCGCAACAGCCGCAGTTTGGGAGTATTTCGGATTCAAACCACATGACCGAGGCGAACTGCTGAACCTATGTGAGCCAGTATGTTGCATCTGTCATAAAACAGTAGCAACTAAGAGCAGCAAAACAACCAACCTACCCATGCAGCTAAACCGCAAAGTTTCTCCAGCTGGAAACAAAAAGTACAAGCGATGGCCCGCCTGCGTCTTCAAGTTCGCGACAGTCCACCATCACTGAAGGAATTAATCGACAGGCAGCATGCAAAAAGGACGGCGCAAAGTGGCGCGCGCTCACAGACGCCGTAGTTCATTTAATTGCTAAAGAGATGCTTCCATTTAATAATGTTAAAAAAAAATTCTAAAAATGGCATTTGATAGACAGGATGAACTCCCGAGGAAAACATACATATTACAAACGTGATACGTCTAAATACAACGTTTTTATTTCCACTGTGGTTTTATCTTGTGTTTAGTTTTTATTCAAGTGTATTTTAGTTAACAGAGACTGAGTACGGTGGCTCTGAAGTGCAAACTGCAACTACAAATCTAAAAACGCAACTACATTAAGGAAATTGCAACTACATAAAGCAAAGCGCAACTACATTAAGAAAAAAACAATTACATTGACCTACTGGAAAAGGTAGGTACCAGTGGGAAACATGAGACATCTCTGATTGGACGACGGCGCCGTTTGAACCTTGAACCAGAAGTCATTCTGCCTGCCGCGGCTTTTGAAAACATGGATATTGTCGGCGCCCCAAACATAGCTGCCGTTATCCAGGAATATTTTGAATCAGGACATACGTACGAGGTGATACTGGATATGCT